CTTCAGGATGCCGGCCTCCAGGTTGACATCGACAAGTGCGAATTCGAGACCACGACCGTCAAATACCTAGGATTCATCGTGGAGGCTGGCAAGGGGGTTCGGGTTGACCCTACGAAGATTGAGGCCATTGAGTCATGGGAGCGCCCACGGTCTGTCAAGGGAGTTCGCAGTTTCTTGGGATTTGCCAACTACTACCGCGACTTCGTACCTAAGTTCTCGGACATAGCGATGCCCCTAACAGCACTGGCGAAGAAGGGCACCCCTTTCATCTGGTCACCCCAGTGCGAGCAGGCTTTTCAGCACCTGAAGGCCCTCCTGATCGGAGCCCCTGTCTTGGCCCAATGGGACCCAGAACGGAAGACAGTGGTTGAGGTGGACTCGTCTGGTTACGCTGTTGGAGGAGCCCTCTCCCAGTACGGAAACGATGGACTCCTACACCCAGTCGCCTTCTTCTCCAGGAAAAATAGCCCAGCCGAGTGCAACTACCCGATTCACGACAAGGAACTCTTGGCTGTGATACGCTGTTTGGAGCAGTGGGACGCAGAGCTACGAAGCGTGCCGTCATTCGAGGTCTGGACGGACCATAAGAACCTCGAATACTTCCAGAAGAAACGGCAATTGAGCGAGAGGCAGGTCCGCTGGGCAGAGATCCTTGCCAGATACAACTTCACCCTGAGATATCGGCCTGGCAAAGAAGCGGCAGTCCCAGACGCCCTCTCAAGGAGAGAGCAAGACATGCCAGCTGTCACGGCGGGACAGGCGGACAATCCAATGACAATTGTATTCGGGCTAAACTACAGTCTAAGCTCTATTCCGTCAGGTACGGGCAGGCTTGATTGTCAAGACGTAGCTCGAGGAGCTACGAACAGGTCTCGCGGCAGCGAGGTGCAGAATATTTAACCCACAGGGGCCCGTGCTTTCCACATGCCGGGTTCCACCCGTGGGTCCTAGCAGGCACGGCGCAATCGCCGTGACAGACCCCCACTTATAGCGACAGTGATTTCTGAGCTAGACTATAGCTATTCTCTAGCTATAGTAACTATAGTCTCAAGCCCTATAATGCTTAGGGCGCTAGCTATAACCGTTGTGCAACAACAATAATAAGGCGCGCCATAGATCCAGTTCCTACGTATACTCCGTACCGTAGAGGCGCTTTATCAGCTCTGGCGTTACAGGTTCGCTATAATGCCCTCTGTTGCCGAGCTGGAGAAGCGGTGGGGTGTTGGGCAGCCAACAGTTACATGCTCAAGTAAGCTTAGATCAACCAAATGGTATTGAACAGATTGAGGTATGAAACGAAGCTTGAATTGGAGTCACGATTCCAGAGTGACTACACAAATGAAGGATCAAGATAGTGGGTTAGGGTGCCTCAGAATGCCCCTTTCTTGTTGGAAGAATTGTCCTCTCTAATCCTCCCAGGGGAATTACCCCCTTATATAGAGACATTGTGCCATGATATGACGTTATGTCAGGAACTGCGTCATTGTGATGGATCTGTGTTGACTGAGAGTCTCGCATTGAACATCAGTGCTCAGTCCGTGAATCCTGGTGCCAAGGAACCCACTCAGTTCAACAGAAATAATTCGTCATCCCGGCTTCAATTTTTCCGTCAATATGGCCCTAAAATCAGCTAAATCGAGCCTCATGATGTTGAGTTGTTACAGTTGGAAGAGCATAGGGGTGTCGCGACGCGTGGACAGTCGCGTTGAATTAAGTGGGGTATTGGAGACTTTGGACCCTGACTGTACCTACTCTTGAAGCTCACAGTGCGAGTGGATGAACTGCCCAGTATTGCCGTCAATCACAGTAGCGGAGCTCCACATACACTACACAGCCTCAACCAGCAGATCCCGCTTTAGCTGCTGAAAATAGGACGCTGAACACTTGGAGAACGCAGCCTCCAAGTTGATCTGCTAAACTAAGTCAAGAGGCAACAGGTGGCATGAGAAAAGGGGAGAGAGTAGAGGGCTTGTACGAGTTGATGACCGAACGTCAACGAATCGGATGTAGTTAGCGTGCCAAGGCCCTTTAGGCTTCGTGCCTCCGGGCGAAATAAATTCCATCCATCCGTCAATCAGTCAAACTACTCTTCCAATCTCATCCGAAATGTTAAACACCAAGAGATTACGGCGGTACAGAATGATCAAACCGGACTCTCATGAACTGAAAGCACAATCGTGGAATTTTACGCGATCGCTATTCAATTTCGACGGCCTTCTGGATTAGCAATGAGTACCTTGTCCGAGATTACGGTAGTATTGGTCCTATCGCGACGGTTCCAAGTATCATGATCAAGAAGAACGCAATCGCTCAGTGCACAGGTGGCTCAATACCCACACAGAGTTCTTGCAGTGAATGTGATCGGGAGACGCCCACAGAGAGGCAAGCTACCCCGCCTGACCACAACAACCAGCTTTGACGTCAAGCCATCGTCTCATCCTATCAGCGTCGAGACTTGTCGTCATCCATCGACGCGGTTGAAAGCGGCCAGCACTTTGAACGCGTTGCACACCCGCAGAATGTCCGCGGTCGACTTGCGATTCGCAGCACCATGAAAGCAAACCCCCCATGAAGCTGCTCGCCACAGCGGCCACACTCGGCCGAGCATCTCGACATGCAGCTCTTTTCATTGCATCTCACTCATCAACAACCAAACCAATCCATGTGAACCACCGATACCTCCGCATCCACACGACAACTCGGAAACAAACACTATTCCGTTCACGCAACAAAACCAGCATGTCTTCCTCCCTTGAAAGCGACCCCGCCCTCGCCCTCCTCCGTGACAACCTCACCCCGATCCCGCCCCTCTCCCAATCCACCACCGCCCTGACCGACTTCTTCTCCTCCTTCGCCCGCGCCGATCCAGAGCCCAGAATCATCCTGATCGGCGACGCATCCCACGGCACGTCCGAGTTCTACACGGCCCGCGCCGAGCTAACCAAACACCTCATCCAACATTACGGCTTCAACATCGTCGCCGTCGAAGCCGACTGGCCCGACGCCGAAGCCGTCGACCGCTATGTGCGGCACCGCCCCGGCCCCGGAGCCCGCGCGAGCGTGGGGCCCGAGGGCGAGACTCGGAAGGAAGGGAGGGAGCCGGCGTTCATGCGGTTTCCCACGTGGATGTGGCGAAATCAAGAGGTGCAGCGGTTTACCGAGTGGCTGAGACTGTATAACAAAGACCGGGATCCCAAGGGTGCTGACGCCGTGGGGTTTTATGGCTTAGATTTGTACAGCCTGGGGGCGTCGATGAAGGCGGTTATTGACTATTTGGAGACTGTGGATAAGGAGATGGCGGAGCAGGCAAGGGAGAGGTACGGTCAGATGATGGTCTGGGCCGAGGATCCTCATGAGTATGGGCTCGAGGCGCTCGCCAGTGGGTTTAGGGGGTGTGAGAAGGATGTGGTCAGGGTGCTGAGGGATCTGTTGGGTAAGAGGTTGGAGTATGCGGCCAAGAGTATGGATGGGGAGGAGTTCCATAGCGGGGAGCAGAATGCGAGATTGGTGAAGGGTGAGTTAGGGGGGTTGTTTGATGTACACTATCAAGGCCTGGGACTGACAGTCATCGCAGACGCCGAGCTATACTACAAGGCCATGTACTATGGCCGCGACGAGTCGTGGAACTTGAGAGATCGACACATGTTTGACACGTTGGTGCGCGTGCTCAAGCATCGTGGCAAGAATGGGCCGGCCAAAGCGGTCGTGTGGGCGCACAACAGCCACATCGGCGACGCCCGCGCCACCAGCATGGGCTGGTCCCGCGATGAGCTCAACATTGGGCAGCTGTGTAAGGAGACATTTGCCAGACAGGCGCTCAATATCGGCTGCAGCACCAACACGGGCACCGTGGCAGCCGCCCGCCGCTGGGACGGCGACATGCAGGTCATGAAGGTGCGGCCCGGTCTCCCAAACAGCTACGAGGAGCTCATGCATGCGACGGGGGTCAAGAGCTTTGTGCTCGACCTTCGTGAAGGGCATTGCAACGAGGAGCTGAGGAAGGCGCTCATGAAGAAGCGGCTGGAGAGATTTATTGGTGTCATTTACGCGCCGCATACCGAGAGGCAGTCGCACTATTCGTCGACGGTGCTGCCGGAGCAGCTTGACGGTTTCATCTGGTTTGATGAGACCCGCCATGTGGGCGCGCTCGAGGTCCATCAGCCTCATGTGCCTCTCGAGTTTGACGAGACCTGGCCTTTTGGTCTGTAGGTAGGTTCCTTTGAAGTGAGAATGTATGGTACTGTAGCAAATCAGCTTGAGAATGGCTGAGGCTGCTGGGATGAGAAGCCTTGGCACGATGTGTTAGTCGGGGAGTCGGAGGATTTGACGACGAAATTGCCGAGTTCATACGTCATGCTGATAGCTTAGGTATTAGTCTTCAATGTTACCCCTCACAGGAGCAGTGATGGTACCAGGTTCGTGCCACATAAAGTCCCTGTGTGTTCGTGCCCGTCAGAGTCGAGGTTCATGCATGGCTCGACTTGAGCAACCAACTCGACTTCATTTCTAAAGACTCGTTGAATCCATTCTCAAGTATGTCGGAGTCCAAAAACCGTGAACGGGGCCTCAGGGCCGCCATCCACAATCCCCGTGTATCAGAGGAAGCTAAACAACACGACCGTGAGCTTCTGGCTAGGGAGTTTGGTGGGAGTGTAGAGGAGCCGGCGCCACGTTCAGAGCGGCGGGCCTCGGGAAGCAAGAAGAGTTCCTCCACGGGTCCGCACTCGCACTCAAGCAAAGCTCAAGCTCAACAGGTGTCCTCCAGTGGCATACAGCCCGCCCATGCAACGGGAAGAACGACGGCGCGCAGGGCTTCCAGTGGAGAGGCTGGAGGGATGCAGCAGATGGGGGAGGAGAAGGATAGGGGAAACGTGTAAGGGTGATTTACCCCCGATAAGCATCAAAGTTTTGCTAACGGTAGACAGAATCCGTGGGCTGAAGGCTGCACTCAAGAACCCTAATGTCTCGGAGAAGGCCAAGGAAGCGGATCGCAAGAAGCTTCGGGAATTGGGAGAGGCAGTTGAGTAACTAACTTGCCGGAGACGTCACAGGTGTATCAATTCTTGCTGGTATATCTTTACAAGATTGGACATCACACATCGAATTGAATCTTGTTTGTGTTGTAAGTATATGTAAGTTACAATCCAATCCTGGCGTGTTTGTTAGCTAGCACGAAACTCTGCAGATTGGGAGGTGACAAGCGTAGCTGGCATCAAGAGTTGGATGAGGTACTGTAATTAGGCCTTTTACTTCTACTCCGTAACTATCCTCTTTTTTATGATCTTATGTTCTTCATTCTTTCTTTGTTCTTCCCTCTTCTCTTTCCATATTCTTTTCTTTGTGTTTTCGTTTTCCTAATTAACTTTAGTTAGTTAACGTGGTCCACCATCGAGCGGGACACCCCATCGACCGGGACACTTTTCTAGACCACACCACTACAAACTGCCAAAAGTCCACCAAAATCTGATGCGATCAATTGAAACTACTCAGAATCGCTTGAGCTATCTATTTCTCCAGTCTCTGGGCATGTCCTTGCATTGTGGCCAGTCTTGCGGCAAATGCCACAGAGCCGCGAACCCGTCCGACGCCTTTTTGATGGTCCTTCATTTTCCTCCTCAACGCGCCTTTCCTCTTCCACCACACCCTTCTCTGCCATTTTTTCCCT